GAGCCTGCAAACGGTCTCACGGTGAGTGTGAAGCAGAGTCCTCTGTGCACACGCAGTACTACTCATAAATTTATGTATTCTCAAGACCTCCTGGCTTCTTGGACCTACCTGGTATGTGTTCCAGAGGTTTTGTATTCCCATGGTAGCTATGACTTCCCTTCAAGGTGACAATGTCTTATACGCAGGATGCTAGTTTGAGCAAAAAATTTAAAAAAAGTAATTCTCTACTGACTCACTGCCATTTGATGCAGTATAATTGTTATTCAATGATAACTAAACTTAATTAGTTTAGTGTTATTTTAGCCATTCAATCAGAGTAGAAATATCTTAGGATTCGATATTCCATAGCCTTGAGAACAGTTTATTACCAATCTATCTCATGTAGATACGTTCCTGTTCATGCTTCTATCGTGTATGAATATGACATAATCTTCCCTGATATGAAGAGATGTACTGCTGGGGAAGGAATGTTCTTCTTCCTGGCAAAGTACGCTGGTGCAGTTAAACAAAAATATTACAAATAATTTCAAATCCTTCAGGCAAATATCAATCACTTCAGCAGGTGGTGAAGAGAAGCCGAGAACCGTTTCTATGGCTGCAGGGCAGACATTCTTTCCTTCCTAAGCAAGACTTATCTTCTCCTGCCTCTCCCAGCGAATGCTAAGACTGTGTCACATCCTGTTAAAGCATGAAAAGCTAACAGAGCTTTTGCCTTTTCTTAGCCTAATACTGCAGTAAAGAACCTTTAGTTTAATCCCAGAATCAAAAGCAATCCAAAACTCATCAAAATCTAACTTGTTCAGATCCCCCCGTGATACCTGGCCACCAATCTGCAGCGCAATTAATAACACAGCTCTTAAGATTCATGGCTCACAGGGGTTTGAACCTTGGAGGAGAAGAGCAGGTATTTGGTGCTAAATAAGGAAGAGCTTATTTATGAGAGAACTGGAGAAATAATATATATCACCCTTTCAATGAAGCATTGATGGGAAAAAAATATTCAGTTCCAATCAGGTGTGAAATAGGTTTGCGCTGCATTCCACTACTGTTTATCCCATTACTGTGCTCAGTAAAGCAGGGTGTGTAGGCAGGGCTATGTTTGTACATGACTTAAAATGCCTGTGCTGTCAGTAAATAACGAAGGACAAGGTGATGAGAGAGTTCCTCTCCTTCTCCATTTTCATTTATTTTTGTGAAGATTGACACCATTAGCGACACCAAGTCAAAAAGCTCCAGCTGAACTTCAAAAGATAACATCAATGTGTCAGGCAAGTGAGAATACGCCCCTAGTTCAAGGCATTCGGGGAGTATAAAAAATCATATATGGCATAGAATATCGGAGTAGAAGATGAGTGATTTTACAACGTAGGTTTTTTTTTTTTAATATATGTTTTCATGTGGAGGAGGACTAATACACTTTCTGCATGCCAAATGACAAATACAAAAGCAATCCATTATGATTCATCCTAAAAATGATTTCAACATTAGGCTGATATTATTCACTGAGTGACACTTCTTAGCTATGTAAGTACATAAAAATAAAGCAGACAGATGTAGTTTAAGCTTTGCCAGACTGAGCTGCATGTTGGTCCTGCTCTGCAATCAAGGAAACTTAAAAAGCTCATTTAATTTCTGCAGATATTCTGCCCATGGCTTCTTAAACAGTGAGAGACAAATAGAAATTGAAGCCATTTCACCAGGGCGAATTCAGCTATCTTTTATAAACACATTCATGACTAAAAGGTAGAAGTCCTTAAGAGATACCACAATGACTTTAGATTTCAAAATTGTAGTTTTGAAACAGAGCACCATTTTGCTGTTGATATCTAGCTTCAAGACTGACACCACTAATGTGTTTTATAGAACAGTTCCAAGCAACTAGAAAAAAAGGTTTTCTCAATTATCGTACTGCTTCTCAGTTTATTGACTCAGTGCCCAGGAATTTTTCATGTAAGACTGATTCCTCGTGAGGAAGATTTCTTATTGGCCAATTAATCCATGAGCATTTCTGCCATTGGCAAACCTGGTTTCACAATAACTCTTTAAGTTAAATTATGATTTATAATCTATTTTAGGGGAATGCTAAAGGTGGCAAATTAATAATTCAATGATCAGGAATACCTATGACGAGTTATACTTGTCACCTTTCTTCAGTTTCTGATATACGTGTTACAACTCTGAGTCATCTTCCATTTCTCTTAGAGAGTATTTGTCTTTGGATGAATTTGTATTGTCTGTAAAAATACTTGGTTATGAGCACTCAATCTCATTCAGAAGTTATAAGAGAGATGGTAAACGGGGCACTGGACCTCCAGGAATTTCAGAAAAGGAAGGGTGATCTTGAAGTTAAAGCAGGCAAGCAGTGCCAGGGAGAACTGGATTTTCCATCTTTGACACGCAGTGTTCACGTGACCCTGGGCCAGTCGCTCCAACTGAAATACCATGGGCAGCCATTCTGTCTGCCTTGCTTTCCTGGGTTCTCAACTTGTCAGCTATTGATTCCTGGGTGTAAGTGCAAGCCAAAGATTCATAGATTGTAAGTAATCCACTATGTCTAGTACTTAAAGATCCATAAAGTATTCCAAAGTCAAACCTGAGCAAGAACGGTTATGTCCTTGTTTCTTAGGTGCTGGTAGATGCACACTGTATTAAACCCAGTATTCCCTGCTTTAAAGCAACCTGGCAACCTCTACAACATAAAAGAACTAACAACAAGCTCCGGTCAACTCCAGATACGTGACCTTCTGTTAGTTCTTCCCTGTGTGTAAAATATGATAATAGTACTACTTCAACTCAGAAGGCTGTTACAAAGTTAAATTTATTAATGCTTGAAGGAGTTATGAGAGTACCACAGGAAAGCAATCATGGAAATTAATTAACCTGCCTTCAAGGCAGGGTTTGAAGAATGTACAGTGAATATGACATGAAAGATTCCACTTTACATGATTAAAATGAAGAGAAACATTGAAGAACTACACATTAATTAAACACATCCTTTGCATTGAATGAGTCTTGCAGAAAAAACACTCTGCAAAGGTAATTTAAAAACTGACGCATATCACATACTACATACAATACTATGGGGGAGGTTTTTGGCTTTGGACCTTTAATGTTTTCCATATAGTTCCCTGAAGTTTTCTTTAAAATCTTTTTTTCACTGCATGATTCCCAGTCTGAATACATGTGATGCTGTGAACCAGCTATCAGAGGAGATTACCGTTGTAGGAGACTACTTATTTCTCTGTGTGACATGCTATGCTTACAGGCTTTATGGCCACCAGAGAGCTAGCACTAGTGGGTTCATATTCCCTGGGGCAGATTCTCCTGGGGCAGATTCTCCTGTGGTCCTCTCCATCCCTCTCCACACAACCTCCATCTCCTGCCTGAATACCCTCCCTGCAGATACCCTCACATCTCCTTCTTCGGCGTCTGGCTCTTCCATCTTTTCCTGTCCCTTCATATCCCCTACATTCATTCCTAATTCCTGCTTTCCTAATTCCCAGTCCTGGAAACTCATCCTTTCCATTTTCTTTCGCTGGGCACTAAGCCCATGTAACTTGCACTGAGACCAGCTGTTCCTTCCTGTGTGTTCGTCAGGCACCAGTAGGCTAAAGATTAATTAAGATTATAGGAAGGACAGTCTTCCTTCTTTCATGTTTGTTGCCAAAGGAGCCCCTGGAAATCAGGAGGCACAGCTACAGTAAGACAGATAGAATTTTTCTTATGTAACGTGAACAAAAAGTACGATTTCATCTTTAGACAGGTAAAAAGATTTTACATGGAGCCCCTTGACAGAATTTTAGTCTGAGAAACTAAAGCTGGCATGAAAATATCTATTGAAACTTTTAAAATTTGGCAGAGTTATAAACAATGAAAATGAGGGGCTTTCACTGATAAGGCAACATTAGGAATAATTGTTACTATACGCACCAACAAATGCTAAATATAGTTGAACTTTTATTGAGGTGTGTGAACCCAAACACGAGGACACCACTTGAACATATAGATGGAAGACAAATTGTTGACCAGTGCCCCAACAAAATAATTTGCACCCAACAAGAAATAGTGATTTACTGGGAGACACATCGGGAGAATACTTTCCTCCTCCACTCCCTTATATTGACTATAATCTGTATTTTCAGCTAAAGATTGTGATGGGAATATAACTGCCAGGCAACAAGAACAGAACAGAAGGACCAAGGATGGAAAGTGGGAGGATTAAGCATGTCTTCAGCTTCAAGTTTGGTAAAATGGCACTGAAGACGTGGCAATAAGGTTTTTTGGCATTTAGCACTGGTTCTGGCAACATTTCGGGGCAGTGGAGTGACCTTGCATGGTCAAGAAGCAGCAAAAATTGGGAAGGCAGGAGTCAAACAAACCCAAAAGGTGTTATGTTCAACTTCTTGGGCGTTTTTCAACTGCTAACATATAAATGTTCAGGGGAAAAACAAACAAAAAAAATAAAAAAAGGAAGGAAAAAAGATGATGTTTCCCTTTCTCCCCCGCCACCGAAGGGCCGGCCCTGAGGGCCATCCGCAGGCCTGTGGCTGCGGGAATGACCTCGGGTGGGCTCCGCCAGCCAGCCAAGGAGGATGGACCACTCCCTTTCTCCAGGCACAAAATCTGGAAAATCTGTGAAAAAAAAATAACCAGGAGGACCTAGCAGGGAAGCCGGGAGGGCGCCTCGTTTGGCTTTCCAAAACAGACCGGTTAAATCGCGCCCGGTCAACCAGGAGGGCCTCGCCCGAGGGAGGGCAGGCCCCCAGCGCAAGGTGCCGGGCAGCCGGGGCGCAGGGCCAAGGCCTCCCCTGCCGGCGGGACCCCGCTGCCCCCCAGCCAGGCCCGGCCCTCTCCGTCCCGCCGGCTGAAGTGCCGCTTTCCCCGGGCTCAGCCACGGTCGGAGCCAAGGTGAGGCGAGGCTCCACCAGCGGGGCTCCCCCCGCCCTCAGCGCCGCGGGGCGGAGCAGCGGCAGCACCTGGCGGCACCGGGTGAGGAGCCGCCGCCGAGCGGCACCAAGCTGCCGTCGGCCGTCGTGCCCGGCCCCGCTCCCGCTCCTCCCCGCGGCACCTGACACCGCGGGGCGGGCAGTGCGCCTGTGCGGCGGCCGCTGGGCGCCGCGGAGAGGAGCGGAGACCCGGCGGCAGCAGCAGCGGCAGCAGCAGGAGGCGGTGGTGGCCACCGGCCGAGGAAGATGGCGGAGCCGGGGGCTGCGCGCAGCTACCCGCGGGCCACAGGTACGGGATGAGTCTGCGGCCCCGCAAGGTGCCGGAGGACGGCGGCTCGCCTGCCCGTTCGGTTGCCTACGGCGCCGTCCCGTCCTTTCCCGCCCCGGGCCGGGGGCTGCCGGAGCCCCATGGGGCGGGCGGGCGAGGGTCGCTCGCTCGCCAGCCCGGCAGGTGCCGGCCGGCGCGGCGCTGAGGAGGGGCGACGGCGGGAGGGTCCGGCCGCCATCTCGGGCCGGGCCCGGGGCCGCCGGTGGGGCGCGGAGGTGGGGGGCGGCCCCGGTCCCAGTGAGGGACGAGGCGGGTTATCCTCGGCGGGAGCCGCAGGGGTGCCGGCGCCGGGGGGAGCCGGCGGTTGGCGGCTGCTGACGGGGGAAGCAGAGCGGGTCGCGCCCCCTTCTCCCGCCGGCCGGTGCCGCCTTTGTGGTGCGGGAGGTGTTTGCCATGAGGTGGCTTTTGTGCGGCGGGGCGGGCTCGCCCGTGGCCGCCGCGATTTCCCCGACCGCCGGCGGCGCCGCCGGGGAGGGAGGCAGCTTGGGTTTGCCCCGGAGCGGAGAGAGGGGAGGGAAGGAGGCAGCGATGTATAAACCTGGTTTGCAGCGGTGCCCGGGCCTGCCCGTGCTGGTTGGCCAACCCGGGCAGCAAACTGGTTGAGCTGGTATCCAGCGTGAGGCACGGCTCCTGTTAAGGTGCCTCCTCGTTGTTGGGTGAAGGTAACTTTTAATTTCCGAGGGCGGGTGTGAGGCGCGGTGGAGCTGTGCTTGGCGTGGGATGAAGCCCCCCAGCACCAGGTGATGCTTGGGCCAAGGTTGGTGGTCGAGACCTTTGCTCTTGGCCTCGTGTGTAGGTGTCGGGGTGGGGTCTGGCTGCTCTTCCTTCGCCTGACCTCTCCCCAGTTCGACGCACGAGGTGAGCGGTGATTAAGGAGTTAGGTAACTGCTCATTATACTTTTACCTTAATTATCTGATAGGGGGCCTTGGCTTTGTGGATGGCAAACCATCTAAACCTGGGGCATAAAGAGGGTGTAATTTCCCTCTTGTCCTAAGCCACTGTAGTTTCTAAAAGTAGCTTTACAATTGCTTTGGGAGATAAGTGGTGTTATCCCAAATTTATGGGTTGGGAAGATGAAGCCTTTGACTTCTCTAAGGTAAGGCTGTGTGGGCAGCCAAGGAGGGAGCCGGGAACGCCTGTGTTTGCTGTTCCTCACCCTCTGCCAGTGCTCGGCAGTCGCAGCTCCCACGGTAAGCTGTTGCGGTTGAGCAGTCAAGCACTTCTAGGTCTTGGGTCTCCATTTTTTTCACATTTCATGTAGAATAGAAGGAAGAGAAATAATTTGTGCTGAGAATTTTTGTTTGACTTTTTTTTTCCCCTTCCTCTCTGAAGCGTAAGGAACTCTGCCCAATATTCACTCACATTCTTCCCAGACTTCTTTTCTTCTTGTTTCCCTGCTTTATACTTTCTAACTTCAGAGGCAAATGTTGCAAAAAAGGTTCGCTGATTATGCAGACCAGGATTTCACCCTGTATGAGATTAGGAATCCAAAGAAAAGACGGCATGTGGTGTAATTAAAGATGATATCAAATGGGTCATGTGTTGTGGAGAATGGGCAGGCATGGACCGATGTAATCACTTGTGGTCATGTATCAACATTTGAACACTAATGCTTAAGCACCGCAAAATAGAGCGGTCTCAGCCAAATCTGTTGTTTTATTTGATTTGTCTGCTAGAAAATAATATACAATGTGATGTAAAAGATTGTCTATGTGTTTGTGATGTGTTTTACAGACAGCAATATGTATGGGATTCTCTGTTGCAGCAGAGAATGAGACTTTTTTTTTCTGGGTCCCAGCTTACCAATTTTGTAGCAGTCACAACAGCTACTAACACAGATTGTTAACAGGGATGTGGAACTGATGCTCTCTTAATTCATGTGTTTCTATGTACCTCTTGGTCCCGGAGTCCTCATCTTATTCAAAGGGACAGGAAGAATCTTACCGCTGTGTCCCAAAGTAAAATGCTTCTTCCCAGTGTGTTGCCACTACAAAGGGTGCTGCCCCAGCTGCTGCCACCGTCCCCCTTCCCAAACTTTTTAGTTCTCTGGCAGCATCTGAGTTCTGATCTCTAGGGTCCTCCAGTGCTGAGGGTATTGCTAGGATGGCAGTGGAAGTGAGGGGCCAGATTTAGTGTGTCCATCACTTCAGCCTCTCTGCCCAGATCAAGCTGTAACAAACAAGGCTGCAGTAAGGGAAGATATTTGCATCCCTTTACTATTAGGGAAGAGACTATTGTTCAATGTTTTATAATTCTGCAAAAAGGAGCAAAGTTCTGTGGCACAAGCAAACAGTATTTGCAGAGCTCAAGTGTTTCCCTTTGCCAAAAATCAAAGGCACGTAGCAAACAATAGAGATGCTACAGCCTGAGAAGACATCGCAGGAATCTTTTTGTCAGGGAGAGTGTTAGGTGACCAAAATGTAGGCGTTACTGCTGCTGCCATCTGTAGTAATGGTAATGACTAAATAGCATTTGAAGGACAAGCTGCTCAGTATTGAATCTCTCATCTTTCCTTTTGCTGTCCGGTGAAATTTTCTTAACGTGTGTTCTGACAGGCAGAAATATTAAACACTTGGGTTTCCAGAGAAAGATATATTTTTTCTTCTTACAGAAAAGTTGGTCAGCCTGAAAAGGATTTAAGAAAAAATTACACGTTGTGCCAGCTTAGTCTGTGTGTCACAGAAACAGTTTGTGTGAAAAGAATTCATGTGTCTATTTCTTTAAAAATACTGTGTGGGATTTTCTTCTTGATAGCAGTGCTTTTCCAGTTGATTTCTTATCAGCCAAAATGATTTATAGAAAGTATATATATATTTTTTTTCTACTATATTATTTCCTCTCCTGTATGGACATTCAAGGTTGCTTATCCCCAAGGTTAATTCATGTGCTGCTTTTCATGTGATGTTACTATTTGCAAGTATGTGGTTTAGTTCAGAGCAGTTTAATCTACTTAATCCTCTCAAGGTTATTGTTTTATTATTTTAAATATTATAACACTGACAGACTTTGCCTCTGTTCTTCAAAAAAAGAAAAGTCAGATTCCTTTCCAACTAAGTTTCATTAAATTGTACTAAAGAAAAATATGTTGCTTTTGAATTCTAAGATTGCAGAAATAAAAGGAAGGTATATCATTTGAAATGCACGTCAGGAAAGTGAAGCATCTGAAAACTTTACTGCTGCTGTATAGTGTCACATACCTCTGTTTGCTTTGGTGGCCAGGCTATCCGTAGCAGTGGAAAGGCATCAGGGATGCTTTTTTAATATTAGGTAATTATTTCTAGACATGTTAATTGAAGGAGCATGTACATATTTAATGTAAATGAAACTATATATCCTGCATGTTGATATTATATAGAGATTTATGTAGTAAGGCTATTTTGTGTCTCATGAATAAATAAAATTATAACTTTCTTAGTTATTGGTCTGTTAATGTGTGCAGAGCAAAACCCACAGGGGAAATGCTTTTAAAATCTTATTTATATCTGTCATTCACTTACAAATGCATTTTAAGGCTACAGAAGGGTAAGAGCACGGCTCTTAATTCTGCTTAATTCTGGACTGGTCAGGCAATAAAAAAACCCACCTTATTTCCTTCATGTGTGCTTTACCTCTGCCGGAAGGTCCCAGTGTCAGTATTGTTGAGTAGCTTGTTTGCTTTTCTCTGTTACACTTATCTTGGCTACTTCTCATGAAATCTGGTTTTTGCACCAGCTCTCTGACAGGGCATTACAGTTTTCAGCCCTTTCTTTACAATTGACTCAAGCTGTTGAGCAGATCCTAGAAGCAGTTATTCTCGGTTTAAGTTCTGTATCCGGTTATGTGTTGTTTTGTTTTTTGAAGTATTGTTTGTATAGAATTTTTATAAATAACTGGATCATACAAATTGGAGGGGGAAGTACAGCTGATCAGGAAACTAATGCAAATTATAGGAATGCTAACTGCACTGAGTAGCCACTAGCTCAAGATGTGTCCTCCCTGTTTCCATGTTCCTCTTTTAATTGTCTCTCGTGGTTGTTCTCAGCCTGATAACTTCAGGTTTTGTGAGGTCTGTGTATCTTATAGGTCCTGTTGGATGTGGTTACCTTTCAGGTGATGTGTGTGTGACAGGTTATTCTCGACACTCAGTGTACTGTGGTGAAGTGATTCGGGTCAGTGAGTATGTTAAATACACTTGTGTTACACACCCAAAGTTAACTTTGCTGTGATTCTCTTCTACTGGCTGAGATGGAAAATCTGGATAATATGCTTAAATAATGGAAGGAGTAGTAATGCTATAGCTCAGCCAAGGTTATTGCAGTAATCAAAAGCAAAGTTCTTAAAGTACTGCAACAGATTTTTTTTTTTTAACCGGCATGGTTTATGGCATTTAGATAACTTCTGAGTTACTATGCTATAATTGACTTGTGTTTGGTATTTCCATCACAACTTGATATATTACCTGTATATTTTCTATGGTTGGAATTAGCACATGTAAGAACATGATATAGATTAGTTTTCCCAATATACTTGTGTTCAAGCAGCCCATCCAGTGAATTAGTGCTACTTAAGTCATTTAGCGGTCTGCTTATCAAATTGACAGAAAAAGTGACTTGAAATCTTGGCGAGTCACAGAGGTATTTTACAGCATAGTACTACCCTGGACTGACTTTAGATAGGATATTTAGAAATACCTTTCACTGTGTTTTATCTCCACAATGATGAATGATGATGGTGCGTGGGGGTGTAAAGATAAGAGGTAAGTGGGAGAGTGGAAATCTATCTACCCATTAAAATGGGAAAAAAATATTAAAGAAACTCAAGATTAGTGTTATGTTATTTAAAATACTGTAACACATCTGCCAGACTTTGTGTGTGTCATTCAAATGACACTTTTTTGTTTTCTTCATTTGTATCATGAAACTGTTGAGATCATAAAATGCGAGCACCCAGCACTCTCTGCAGGTCTGAATGTTGTAAGGAT